TTTTTTTTTTTTAATCGCGGTTTGCATTGGGTAATGCGCTCTCGCAGGTATTACGCAACAACTAATACGAGCTGCAATAAAAATAGCCCGCCGCCGATGCACGCTGGAGTAGAGAGCGGCCAAAAAAAATCCATCAAGGAAACCCACAGCCCGATGTAGTTTGCACTGGTTGGTGAATTTCATAACATTGTCAACTGCTGAAAACAACAGAAATTAATCGAACGTATACAATAACAACAATGTGAATTTCACCAGCACACCACCATAAAAGCATCAACAAACATCAGCGCTGTTAAAAACACTTCCAAGTAACAGACACACACAGCCCATGTCCTAAAGCAAATCCACAACTGCAAACAGAAGTTAAAACAAAAAAATTGTTAGAAGCCAAAATATGATTGAATTGCTGCAGAAAAAAAAAAATATAATAGAGCTGTTGGAAAATAAATGAGGGGAACATTTGAGTGCCAAGATGGAATAAGGCAGAGTGAAGGGATTTCTCTGTGGACACGTGTGCCAGCAGAGGCTGCCACGCTGCTGGTTCAGACAGCCACATGCTGATGCCAATTAATAAGTCAGTTTATTGTAACCATAAGGTGAAGGCAGTTTTACTAAAAGACCTTATTTCCAGAAGATTAGCTTTAGAAAAACACAACCAATGGGACTGAAATTTCTCCAGAGGTATGATATAATCAGAAAGATTGTACAGGCTTAAGAGAATTCCATTTAGCCAGGCTTGCAGCTGCCTCAGGATGGAACCAATATTGTGCACATGCCTTAGCCAAACTCCCCCAAAAAAAGGCTTTTTGGCACTCAACTTCAAGGCTTGTGCAAATTCAGGAACCAGAAACTTGCTCACAACTCTGCCACTCTGGGATACATTTACTAAGGCAGCATTTGGTGTATCTGCATCAACACCCAAACCCCACTCTGGGTCAGTGTGTGAGACTTGGGCTTCCTTCCTGCCAGCTGACCCTTCTGACTTGACCACCTCAAAGTCACCTCCCCACCCAGAGCACATGGTCTCTGCAGGAGCACAAACCATGCAAGCAGCAAGAAAAAATTACATTCTGGGTCTACTTAAGGAGAACCACCACAATTCACGCGCTAGTGTTCACAAGCCTGATTGCCAAAAGGAGAGGAAATCCCTTTGAAACACCACCTGAACTCTGCCCTGCCCACAATGTCCTGAATTCCAGATATCTGTGAGTAAGGGGAAGGACTTTGAGCACTTTTTACCATTGTTCTGCTCTAAGCCCATTTTTAAGGCAATCTAAAAGACCACAAGTGTATCAAAGCATTGGAAAGCTGAAGGCAGCCAGGGCAGTTCTTTTGATTGCTGTCCTGCTCCAGGATGTCCCTGATCCCACAGGGATAGCCAGAGTAGGAATTCCTGAATGCCATAACATACACAGACACCAAATCATGAGCATGACCAAAGAGCCCCTAAATGAAAACTGCTGCAGCTCTAGGCATGGGGGCTGGGAAAAGTTGGCAGCTGAAGCTTTCCAAGGGAGGGGGCAGGGAGAAATGGGCTGAGTGTTCATTACGAACACTTGGAAAAATGGACTCCATGCACTCTAAATACTCTGTTTCAGCTAAATCATAATCTGAAAGCTTGGGTTTTAAAAGTATTTATATTTTAGTTTAAGACAAACTCGTGCAACAAAAGAAGTGTTGGCTGCAATGTGAGACTTGGCAGAGCCACAATGAGCTGAACAGGGGTCTCCTAACGCAAAGTGTTCAGCAACCCCAGCAACAGACACAGAGCAGACAGAAATTGGGGAGTGCAGGCAGAAAGGCAGAAACAAGAGAAGCCAGAGAGCAGAAACTCTGTGTGAGCATTAAACTCTCCAAGCCAGCAGGGCACTCACCTCACAGTGAATGGGCACAAGTTCAGTATTGGGGTTTGATCCTCACTGCAAATCCACTGTCAGGAGCACGATAATGAAGGGTGCATCAAAACTGCAACCCAAAAGGAGTCTCCAATTACACCTTATCTGCCTTATCTCACCCAGGGTGGGTGTAAGAGAGTTTCATCCCAAATTGTCATGTTCATTATGCAGCAGGCTGAGCAGGCAAAACAATTCACGTGGGAAAGTGTCCCCAGAGATTTCACCACTATCAGCTTTCAACCTGGAACACAGCAGTCACTCACACACCTACCTGTAGGTCTGCAGACTTGTGCTTGAAGAACCCTGCTGCATCCTCCAAGGGATTAGGAAAGCAAACATATTTTGGGATCCCTAAAGCCTTCTTTATGCAAGGCAGTGAGTTTAGATAATGGTTTAGCCAAACAGGCACAGGCTGACTCAGTTTGAATAAGCCCCTTAGGAGGTACAGTGAAATCAAATCAGAACCATTTAAGCTCAAGTTACCAAAGCCAAAGTAAAAGCACTTCAACCGAGGAAGAGTTGTAATCTTTAAATTAAATTCTGAACTGATTTTGTCACACAGTTTCATGCACAAGGTGTAGCAGCTGCCTCTTCTGAGACACCTTAACACCAGCTTTTCCATAAAACAGAAACCTACAGCAGCAGCTCTTTATTTCCTCCTGCTCCCCAAGCTCAGAGGAGCATCCAGGATTCACCCAAAGCTTCTCAGTTGGCCTCTGTGGTCTTTTATGCTGCACCTCCAGTTACCCAATTAGTGTCTTGTTAATGAACACCTGCCATGTATTTATTCCTGGCTGTTACAGTACTTTTTAACTTGTAATGCCCAGTGGTATCTACATCCATCTCAGAAGCTTTGTGCACAGGCTTCAACGAGAAAAATGTTATTTGTGCAAAACCAGAGTGGTTTTCAGGGCTGTTAAACACTGGCACTTTTTGCCTCTCTGCTCATGGAGTGTTGAGTGTTTTGAAACCCAGAAGGGATGGAAGCAGAAAAGGAGATACTCTGTGGGACAGATGAGATTTGGGAGGATGGATCACACTCAGTGCCTTGTGTGACTGCACCCAACAGTCTTTAGCAGGCATCAGGGGCTGCTGAGAACACCAATTTTTCTGATCTTTGCCACAGGTACTTCCTGCAAGCTTCTGATTTTTACCTGTGCCTGTTCCACTATCACAACCACAGATTCCCACTGCAAGGGGAGATTACATGACTCAGATCACTCCAGTGTCAGGCAGAAAGGTGTTGAACACAAGGGGATAAATGCTCTTATTACAACAGAGAGTCATCTTTTCCAATGATCATCTTCAGTGTAGTGGCAGGATTTCCTCGATTGAGTAAGTGTTATTCAGTAAGTTAAGGATGACAGGATTAGGGCAGAGGTTTGAAACAATAATTGCAGTTTGTTCTTCTGTAGTACCTTTCATCTGTGGAATTCACAACAATGCAATAATCCTCCTAACAGCTTTTGTAAGTAAGGAAATATTATGACTCCTGTTTTTCAGCTGAGGAAGCTGAGAGGGAATATGATGATGCAGAGAATCACGGGCAGAGGCAGAATTGGGACTCAGCTCTTCTGACTCATTCTTTGTAGTTCTGAGAGCCTGGACACACCAGTTGGTGAGGCCACCCTGGCTCCTCACTCCCAGGAATGTCAGTGCCTGCAGGGCTTTGGATCTTCAGTGTTCCCTCTTCATGTGGAGAGGGGTGAGCAGAGCCCCCAGACTGGGAAGCCAGGATGTCCACAAGCCCCAAAAGGCACAGGAATGTGCTCTTTGAAGGGAAGACAGGAAAGAATTGAGCAACCCAAGACCTGAAGGATCTTGTATGTGTTCATCTGCAAAGAGGAGTTTTGATTGTGATCTGAATGGTGCTCTCAAGTCAGCCAATATCCAGTGGAGGGTCCAGAGGAGATTATTTAAATAAAGTTCTTCCAGATTGGAAGTTCCCAATCCAGTGAAGCAGAGCTGAAGTGTTTCCACTGCAATGGACAGGAAGGGCGTGAAGAGCCCACAAAATCTCCTGTCTGACTATGATGTGTCTTACCAGGAGGCAGCAAAAAGCTTCATTTGGAGGAGCTGGAGACTGGGATACAGTGGGCTAAGATATGTAAGGAAAGAGGCAGAGCAAAGGCCTAAACTGTTGTGAGAGAGAAGGACATGAGCACAGAATTTAGGAATGGAAAAGAAACTGCCCAGAAACTTTGGGCATAGTTAAAAACGTTCCTTTGGAAATTACCTGCACCTGAATGGTTTTGCTGGACATTCAGTGTGATGTGGAGACCCAGCACCTGCTGTGAACAGAGTGTTTGCACAGGTAAGCAAGGCTGTGAATGGTGTGTGTTACTGAGCTGGCAGACACTGGAACATGCCAGAGCCCTAAAGGATTCCTCTGTGTTTCCTTACTTTTCCTCCTGCCCCCCTCACAGAGACTGGAGAGAATGGCAGAGAGATCCTCTAACAATAACACCTTCAAACATCTTGATCTGCAAATGACAACGAGTAATAAATAGATTTCACTAAAACTATTTCAGGGGTGTGAGTGGATTGCATTGAACTGTCCCCTCACTGTGGCTGCAGCCAAAGAACAAAGCTCCTGATTCACACAAGTGCTGAGAACCTGCTGCTCCAGTTGAAGTGGCTGGGAGAGGCAGGCTGTCATCACGTCTGGCAGCCAGAGCGTGTGTGACTCAGCCTGGGCTCTCAAATCAGCAGCCTCAGTGCAGGAGCTTGGCTGGGGCTGGCACTGGGGGGGATTTGTGCTGAATGAATTGCACATTGCAGGACTCCCAACCTGCTCTTCAAAATCATGTTTCTTACAGGTCTTTGCTAACAAGGGTTTGATACATGCAGTGTTCAATGATCTTACACTGAAATGAGTTCTTCAACTTCTTCCAGGCCCCTCATGCCTGGATTAAGTGTTTGTACACATCCCTCCCAAGGCAGGAAGATTCCAATCCTACCTGCTCTCCACTGGGCTAAGATTTCCTAGCTTTAAATGAACAAATGTTGGCAATGATGCAAGCAAGGCTTAGTGTGTGGTGGGGGAGGTAGAAATATCATCCTGGAAAAGGTTCAGTGTTTGTTTTTAAATCCCAGAAGAAACATATGAATGTGATGTATCTGGGATTTAGGGAAGGAAAAAAAACAGAGCAGAATGTTAGGAACCACCCAGAAACAGCTCTGTGTCAGGGATCAGCTGCTCTTTAGAAGCCTAAAAGATGCAGCAGGTCTCTCCTGAGCTCTTCCTGCCTGTTTCTGGAGCAGAGTGTAACACACAGCGAGTCTGTTCTGCACTTCCTCTGTCTGCTGAGGGGCCCAAGCAAATAAAAATGCGAGCTGAGATTGCTAATTGTGCCAAAACATAAACATGGGCTCACACAGCTTGTGTGATTACTCACCACTACAAACCTCAGCACGAGCTGGTTTGCAGCAGGCAGGTCTAAAGAACAGGTCCAGGCTGTAATGAAGTTCCTGGGAGCTTTTCCCCAAACAAAAAGGTCCTTTGGGTCAGCTCTGGGTTAGCTCTGGCCTTGGTGCAACCTGGGACAGAATCACACATTGGTGACAGCAGGAGCCACAGCCTGGAAAGCACCCAGAGGGAGCCCAGTAACACTGGGAGCAGCAAATTCCTTCCAATCTGAGCCATTTTCCTCTCCTTTTCACCACCATGGGAAGCTGCTCTCCCACAAACACCTGGGACAGGTGGCTTTCCCAGTGCACTTGGCACATCCCCAAGGTCAGGCTGTTTGGAAGCAAAGGGAGTGAAAGATTTGCTGAGGGAGAAGCCTGCCAAGCCCCACGCTTTTCCAGAGGTTGGACAGATGTCACATCCTGCTGATCCCAGCTGTGGAAGCCTGGCCAGGGGAACAAGAAATACCCACACAGATTCATAACCATCAAGTGAAATTTAATCCAAATTTCTGTCTGTGCAGAGCCCTGGGGATGTTCTGCAGTCCCAAAGAGATGCCCCTGCTCGTGCTGCTTCTGCAAGCTCCATGCTATCAAAAACCCTGCCTGGCATGCAATCAGGTACTTGGCCAAAGGGAGTTTATCATACTTTAAACTAGTTTAAAAAAACATCCAGGACACTTAGAGGCTAAGGGGTTGTTTAGAATTACACTTAATTTGTAGTCAAGGCTACATTTTTCAAGTTCCAGAGAGGTATTATTCACAGCAGATAAGGATTTTTATACATGCACATATATGTGTTTTCTACACATATATAAACATATTTATATATATTTTCTACATATAAAAATATATAGAAAATATATATTAAAAAAATATAAAATATATAGAAAAATATCAGGCAAAAATTCCCAAAGCAGGCACTGAGAGGCAAAATACAAACTTATCTCCAACATAAAAGAAACAAAAAACACCCTGCCACAAGCAAGTTCTATAAATAGCATTATACTGCTGATTTGCATTCTCCCATTTTATTTCATATTGTTTAAAATACTGAAAACATTAAGCCAAAGCCATCTGGAAGAATCAGCACCAGGGATTTAACTGGATTTGTTCCCTAATATTGTTCAGGGGACTGTGCAGCTCTTCTGTGTTTTACCTCCCTGAGTTTAGAGGGCAGGGCTAATTCTCCAGATTTCTGCTGCAGGATTCCAGGCTGGAGGAGAAGGGCCTTGGCTTCACTACACCACAGGTTTTTTTCATCTTTTCCTTTCTCAACTGCCACTAGAATTTTTGGAAGCCAAAACTCTTCCTGTGTTAAAGGGCCAGTGAATGACACACGTCTCCTTTGCTTCCCTCTTAAGTGAAAGCAGACTGCAACGTGTGGGTTCAGAAATAACCCACTGCTCTCCAGAGAAGTGCTTAAACACATGTTTAACTGTAACTGGGCTGTTTGGCCTTGATGAATTAAACACTTTTCTGAGTCAGGGCTTTTTGTGTGACGATATGCTGAGAAAACCACCTTGCCTCAGATACCCTCTCGGTGTTAAAACGGGTCAAACATCAGCATTTAGTCACAGAATCACGAGGGCTGGGAAAGACTTCTGGGATGATCGAGTCCAACCTTTGATTGATCATCACTTTGTCTGTCAATTAATAAATTTAACATCAGCATTTAGAATCACAGAATCACTTGGGTTGGGAAAGACTTCTGGGATGGTCGAGTCCAACCTTTGATTGATCATCACTTTGTCTGTCAATTAATAAATTTAACATCAGCATTTAGAATCACAGAATCACTTGGGTTGGGAAAGACTTCTGGGATGATCGAGTCCAACCTTTCATTGATCATCACTTTGTCAATTCAATCATTTTGTCAATTAATAAATTTAACATCAGCATTTAGAGTCACAGAATCACTAGGGCTGGGAAAGACTTCTGGGATGGTGGAGTCCAACCTTTGATTGATCATCACTTTGTCAATTCAATCATTTTGTCAATTAATTAATTTAACATCAGCATTTAGAGTCACAGAATCACTTGGGTTGGGAAAGACTTCTGGGATGGTTGAGTCCAACCTTTGATTGACCATCACTTGATCAATTAAATCATGGCACTGAGTGCCACATTCAGTCACTCCTTGGACACCCCCGGGGATGGGGACTCTGCATTGGGCAGCTCCAATGTTTAATGTTTCTCCCTGATCCAATGTTTAACACCACTTTCCATGAAGAAATTCCCACTGATATCCAGCCTGAACCTCCCCTGGTGCAGCTTGAGGATGACTCC